ACCCACCCACACACACACACACACAAGCCACTGTTGTTCAAAGACATGAGAGGATGCGCCTCAGCAGAACACACAACAAAGACTGAGGTGGACAGAGTTCCTGCGACTGAACCACACATACACTCGCATCTTCAAAGTGACATCCACACACATGCAGCCACACACACTCAAGGACACGGACACGGACGGACACGGACACACACACACACACGGACACACACACACACACACACACACGTAGTTCACGTTTCCTCAAAAAAAGACACTTTAGCAGCTATTCACATTTTTACATTCAGATTTCATTAGAGCTAAATTCCCACCTGGGACCATCCAACAAGGTCTCGCTTCTCCATCTCTCTCTATAGTTTCTAGGTCATGATTGGTCGACTTCAGCCTTATCACATCTACTTCACAGACCCTTTGTGTTTCGGCTTATGTAAGAATGTGTAATCAGCTGGTTTCTTACTCTCTACACAGTGTCTTTGGTAAACATGATTAAAGGGAGTTGAGTTTATCTCTCCATAACTAAAGACCTGAACGCCTCAAAAAAAGCTTTTAATTTGGAGGGTATTCACCATAAATAGAGCTGAGGGGGCAAAAGACTGAATCCCAAATCCTGTTTTAATTAGAAGACGCAGATCTTTGCTTTCTCATTACTTCTGACCGTCATGTTTGTTATCCCCAAACAACAAAACAAAAGTGTTAATTCCTGCCCTATTTGTAGGAGCAGACTGCTTCCGGACATCTCAGAGCGTCCGTCACACAACCATCATGTTCAAATCTCCTCTCAAACCCCACCCCACCGCTGCTCCCGCAAGGTTAAAACAAACGCCAGCAACTATTAGAAGCTTGTGCAGCACCACTGCAGCCTCTAAGAGGAGCCGTCGACTCTAATTCAGCCCTGAATCAACCGGCTGACGACAGAGCCTGCGCTCCTCGCCTGCACCGGCATGTTGATTCAACAACATGTGTTTATGCAACGTGCTGCACAGAAGTGCATGAAGAGAAAGACTAAAAGAGAGGGTGAAATACACCAGACTACCAATGCATGATCCAGTTTCCACCACAGTTTGTGCGCTAAATAAATCACATTATACTTCAAAGGAGTTTCAACTTTCCCTTCCCCATTTTAAGGAGGTCAAGTGTTGTGTCCGTCTGCAGCTTTTTCCAGCCACCGCTGCTGCATGGATTTCACTGTGGTGGACAGATCGGCCCGGGGCCAAGAAATAATTAAGTTGGTGGTGATCTGGATCTGGGATTTCTGCCACCAGACAATAATTTCTTTGTTAGGCGCAGCTGGAAGTAACAGACATAGACACTTCATTTCAAATGCCAAGGGGGTGTTTGCGCTGTCAAGAAGTCTGTTTATGACGGGGAGGACGCCTAAGCGGCGATGAAGCCTAATTGTAAATGAAAGCTTTGCATCTCCTTTGGACAAACATTGTTCTTGATAAAGATGATAAATTTCAGCTAATTCATTTCTGCCAAAGAAGCTGTGAGTCAAAGTTTTAAAAGGAAAAACTTTTTTTTTTTTTTTACAACAAGAATTTTTTGGTCAGTGATCTGAGAACGTGGTGCGGCGTCAAATGGGACTAAAAACACAAACAAACACAAACAATACAGATTTTAAACAAGCTCCAGGTTTGTCACATTTATCTGGAAGAGAGAAACAAAGGTGGATGCTTAAAATAATTAAGACCAACCACCACAGGTCATATGATCAACTGGTTCAGCTTTGACCTGCTGTAGATTCTGCAGTTGTTTTCCTGCTCAATAAGATTATCAGTGATGCTTCAGGTGTGCTCACCTTCAGTTTTATTTCTAAATAAACAGCTTTTGTTTACAACCTGTCTCACCAACCTTCACAGCTGCCTGTAATAAACAGTGACCAATTTTAAATGCTGAATATAAAATTTAGGAATAAACCTCACACTATAACAGTGTTAGAGAGTCAACACTTAAATGATGCCATTTCTGCCCAGAACTCACAGTGAGACCAGAAAGTAAGGTGGGTGGGGCTAAAGACAAGGTTTTCACGCTCAAACTGGACGACTGGAAGAAGAATTTAATACAGGTGATTACAGAGATGCAGGAAATGTGAGAACGAAGGAAAAAAAGGTGAACAGAGAGAGAGGTGGAGAGAGAGGGGCAAATGTCCACATATTGCATAACAGTGTGTGTGTGTGTGTGTGTGGGCATTAACAGAAGAGGAAAAAAAGAAAGGTGAAAGATGAGAAGCGTTGCGTGATTCCCGTCACCTGCATGTGTGAAGAGAGTGCGACAGATGTATCAGACATTAAGACTTGAAGAAGACAGAGAAGAAATGCTGCCTCTTACCGGAGTGTGTGAACTGTAGTCTCGGCTGAGATGCTCTCCATGCCCCCGTTAAGGCGGCCCCGAGGTGGGCGAGCAGGACCGCGGTCACCGGCCAACACATCCTTCACGTGCGAGTCCGATCTGACAAATTCAGGCAAGCTGACAAGTGCCAGAGCAGTTTCAGAGTCAGTCTCAACCTCAGTGTTGCATTCAGGTCAAGTGCTGAATCCCAACACACACACAGGGGACACACACACACACACTCTTGGTCCGAGTGCTGAACTGTTGAAAGACGAAATTTGAATCTAATTTGAGTGAAAGTCCGAGTTGCAAAGAAGCTGAATCCAAACACCCTCAGAGTCCAAGTGTATCAGGCTTGAGTAAGTCCAGATCCTCCAAATAATTCACCACTCCTTATATGAAGGTAACAGCAGCACTTACACACACTTCACCATCTGTGTGTTTGCCAGTTTATATTCTTTCTGTGTGTGTGTGTGTGTGTGTGTGTGTGGGCTTCAGAGATGGAGGGGAAAATATCTTCCAAGAAAAAACTAAGTCGTTTCTCCGCTGCCTCCTCGCAGCTTGACAGCTCTCTTCTGCTCTGTCTCTCGTCCCAGCTCCTCTCTGCATGTGACTGCTCTCTCGCTCTCTCTCTCTCTCTCTCTCTCTGGGAGGCGGAGGGAGCAAGATTCCCGATCATTGTGGCCACTCTACACACACACACACACACACACAACACACACACAACACACACACACACAGGCACGTCTCCTCGCTGCTCCAGGAAAACCTGGTAAAAGTGGAGAAATAAAATAAGAGACCATTGAGTTTCATCTTTATTCCATCTCTTACCTCAGCTTTTCTTTTCTATCTCATAATAACACACAACACTTATCTAAAAACAGCGATCACTCCACGCTTTACAAAACAAATAAATAAAACAACAACACAGAGTTGTATCAGTCGTATTATCCAGACGTTATAAAAAAAGAAGCCTTTCAGTGAGAGTGGGTTTTCAGATGCTGTTGAAAATAGTATATTGATTTTTTCAAGGCTGAGTTTGTCAGAGCTGCAAAATGATCAGTAACCATTATTCTCCAGTGTTACCATGAGAAAAAGCCAATAGGTGACTACAACCAGACCTCACACTGTGTGCAGGTAGATGACTCAGGAGATATAATCTGGAGCCATGAAGTGTATTAAAAGTAAATTTAAAAGTAAAAGTAAGATCTTACAAACAAACTTTCACCTCCTTTCTTTCTTTCTTTCTGCTCCAAACTCTTTCAGTCTCTTTCCTCCTTCTCATTATTTCTTCCATCTCCTCTCCTAACCCAAATGCAATCATTAAAGCCTGCGCCTTCTCTCTCTTGCTCTGTTATTTTCATTAGATAGCGGCTCACTGGGGTACAGCGGCGCAGGCTGAATTTTTCACCAGCTCAAGTTCAATCACAGGCTAGCGGGGACAATTTATTCATTCTCTGGGATAAATAATGAATTTAGGTTGCGTGCAAATGAACAAGTATATTCTCCCCTCCCAGGATTTCTGATTCGTAAATGATTTATTCTCCACACTTGTTTGTTATTGTATAATTAGTGCAGATTTTTATTTTTTTAAATACAACCCATGACTTTAATTATATGATTACAGGTCCTGCAACCTGGTGTTTACACAGCCTCACACAGCTTTTAATTTGATGAGGGCAAATCTGGTCACACCCGCTTGATAATTAAGTTATCTAATTATTTAACCGTCGCCTCGTGATTATTCAGGCTGACTAACCCTGCTCCTACGACGGCACGACGCCCTGCCGCAGTGACCCTGAGCAAGATGCTACTGGAGCTTCATGTCTTAATAATTAACATTAAATGATTCTGCTCATAGTATTGAAAAAAAAAAAACGTTGTTAATTGCCGCTTAGTAAAACTCCATCATCCCTTTAAGGTGGAATAGTTTTGCACATTTAAATTAGTAACGTGCATTATTTTTAGAAGCAGTAGTACTACAGCAGTGGCTGCTTACCTCTCACTGCTGCAGCGTCTCTGTTTAGGCCAACCCAGGATCACCTGTCAGTCAGACAGAGCAGCTCGTACTGTGACTTTTCTGATGTAGAAGAAGTTCCTGTGTGTAGAGCTCTTTTCTTTGTTCCTGTTACCACTGCCAGTTCTTGTATTTTAGACAATCCGGTGACATAAAATAGATCAATCCTGTGCAACAGAGAAATAAAACTGCAAATGTAAATGTTTTTATGTATACACAGGATGAATTACCTGTGTTTTATCAGTTGGTCACAAGGGAGTTAAAAACAAAACATTTAAGATATTTTAATGTGGATTCCTCCGGGGCGTTCTGCTGAGGGTGTGCTGCCCTTACCCACCAAAGATCCAGAAAATATGATGTGGGGGAATTAGGAAAATTCAGGAAATATTAATCTAAGATTTACAGATGTCGTTTTAAAATGTTTATGTCTCCAAATGAGGAGAAACTGACACGATAGTGTAAAGGTTTAAAATGTAAAAGTTAGGTTTGATATTTTGGTGTTTTACAATAATACTATTGCAACAGCAGCACAGTCATTTCAACATGTGAGCTCAGCTGATGAGTCACCATCGGCTGCCTCTCAGTTGCTCGTGAGTAAACGCTGCAGAATCTCATAAAGGTTGCATTTGACCTGTCAGCAGGGATCTGTGCTATAGAGTCAAAACAAAAATGTTCTCCAGCCATTCGAAGGTTCTACCTCAGATGCCGGTTGTTCTTGGTTGGGCTGGATCTGTGGTCATCACATCTCTGAGGAGAAAAGATGGAACATCAAGCACCTTGTTGTCAGTTTAAGATAATTCGCCATAGAACTGACTTAAACTCTCTGGTCGTTAAGTCAGGATAATTACAAGCTCGTCACCAACCACCTGATCAGTCAGCTTGTTAATTACAACTAATGACCTCCCAGCTAGCTCGAACAAAAAGCCTCTGATTTCTCTTTGACAAGTGATGTCAATTAGTTAAATAGCGTGTGAACTCGAGCTGCTGAGATCATTACGGGTCTCTGATCCTCCCGCTGCTATTCTCTATCAGGCACATAGACACACTCACACGTCCATTAACTCAGGCACATTCCCTGTTTCACAAGTTGAGTGAGAACGCATCAGTTAATGAGCACTCTGTTTAGTTTCATAATGTTTATGTCCTCTTTTTAGGCTGATATGAAGCCTAATATCACTAACTCACAGTGTGTATGCTTGTAATGGTTGTCAAATTGAATGAAGTGATATGTATATATGTATACATTTTAAATTTTAGACAAGTCTCTTATCAATATTACCCTTTTAATCATCTTATTTATTGCAATTTTAATCCTTTTCAACCACTGTATGAACTGAAATAATCATGAATTTACCATGAAACCATATGAAATACACATGAAATCTGTCTCTTAGACAGTTACAGGAGAGCTGTTACTCTCATTTTAAAGTTTTATATGAAAATACTGATTGAACCCTCTCTTTTAATCTGGGTCACATAAAATGTCATACTAAAGGCTTGAAAATGCCGCCATGTTTTACTAGAACAGAGAGTGATGGTAACTTGTTGCCTCCTTTAACGACACTAATGAAGATGAATGAACATTTTGATCCTGTTTCATAAAGAGCTATTTGACACAATATGAGTTCAAAGAACACAAAATAACACATTTCTTTAAAAACATGTACTAGAAATGGTCATTGTAGGGGTCGATGGTTGACCTCTGCTAGCTAGTACAGCGGCGTTTAAATGCAATTTCACGTCATATACGTCATAATAGTGTCGCAGGTTCACAGTGAGAGAGATTTACTCAATAAAATGGAGTAAAAACAACATGTAAAGATGTGACTAACATTATCTTACCGGAATGTGCCGTTGGTTCGAGGCTATTTGTGCCTATAACCGAAGAGAAAACTTTCTGGGAACGTCACTGATTTCACTCTCGCAGGTAAGACTGTGCTGCCATCTTACGTTTCTTCCCGCCGCTTACCTGCTTCATCGAAATCCCGCGAGACTATGGGGGGAATTCGAGACTTGGTCTGTACACGATGTCAGCAACGTACATTTTTAAAGACAGAGTGAACAAAACATTTTCCTTAAAACAGCAAACTCGGAAAACTAAAAGTGTTGCAGCATCAAAGAAGAAGAGGAGTAACCGTTAAATTCAATACACCTTCTGTGTAATGACGTATTTTCACCACTAGAGGGCAATGTTAGATTGTGTAAATTCAGTATAATGCACCAGGGAGAGGAGAAACACACTGTAGAATATGGTTAAAAACATTTAAAAATATAAACATAAAGAAAATAACCGCAGTTGAATGATGATATAATCTTCTTTCTATGGATATTTAAATTTTCCAAATGGCTAATCAGCCTCAAGTGGCTCTTAATAACATCACAGAGTCAAATACTGGATGCCATCTTCAATTCCACATCTTAATTTACTCTCATGACCCACTTTTTGCTCCGTACCTGCTGTGAATCACTCAAGATTTTACTCCAATACATAGATGAGGGGAAAGACACTGAGGTTATATTTGTATTTTCTATATCAAATAAAAGAATAAGATAAACCCTCCACTAACAAATCACCTTAATCCACCCATTCAGCTAATGAGTTTATTTATATTTATATGTGTTTAATCTCATGTGGTAATTTTTACAGTAGTAACACAGAGTAGCATACATAGTTTGTTGTTATACAGTACTATGGTGCCATTTTGGACAGTCAAATTTAATCGATGCTTTTGCTTTGATATTTGATCTCAGTTGTATAATTTTCATTTCAAAACTGACCAGTCAGGTTTATTCCGTTTGAATTTAAATTCTCTACCAGCTGTGTGTGACTTTATGACAGGGTGGAGTGAGTATTTTGGAGGGAGTAGGTTCTGACCGTCCTGCGCGCTCCCGTCATGATGTGTTGGAACCTTTTGTGAGGAGGCGCGGCTGGCGGGAGCGCGCTCGGTGCTAAATGGTAGGCAGCAGTGAATCAACAGTAAAAAAAAAAAAAAAAAAGAACAGAAAAAAAAGAAAGAGCATCACCACTGTGGCAGAGTAAAAAGAGATTTTTAGAAGTTAAATAATGGGCGATTTGCTGCGGTCAGTTCCCACAGTTCAAGACTTTATTTTATTTATTCATTTATTTATTTCTGTTTTTGTGAAATGTGTCACGGAGATGAACTCTTGTCC